TGTTTGAGAAGGTGTAGTGCAGACTGTGTCCTTCCTAACAAACTGTAACATACATTTCCAGAAACTAGAAGGTGTTACCTTTCAAATGAGGTCTCATAACACAAGATCAGACACAAGATGTCCACACAGTAAGCATTTCTATTTGGGTATCATAATTCGAGAAGAAACAGGCGAAATTAGGTGATCCTTAAGGGGTTAAGCTTAATTTTAGACATTTTCTGCACAAAATGAGTAGATGCATGGACTTAACCAAAACTGGATAAAAAGCAAGACTGACCATGGATCATTGTTATTGCAGACTGACCATTAAAACTGACAAAAACTATACAATCAAAATAAACTTAACTATAGAATCAAAGAAACAAGTATAAAATATCTATCTTTAACATAAAAAAGAAAGAAATACTTTCTGCATATATGGCAAAATAAGAAGAAAGTATAAAGTACTGTGTATCCTACTGCAAGCAATATGAAGTTGTCACTGGTAATCACTGGTGTATAAACAGTCTGGAGATAGAGCGTAGATGTATTCAACTGTCATTAGTTGGGGCAACAATATATCGGTCAAAAACCGTAACAGGCTGGACAAACTGGTTAAGAGGGCGGGGTCAGTGGTTGGGGGGTCACTGGACTCTGTTGAGGCAGTGGTTGAGAGGTGCATGGGGAGAAAGGTCCAGGCCATCCTTAGTAACTCCAGGCACCCTCTGCATGGGACTCTGTCTGCTCAGAAGAGCAATCGATCGGATCGTTTCCTCTCCGTATACAGCAGGACTGAGCGCTTCCGGAGATCCTTCATCCCTGCTGCAATTCGATTTTTATAACGGCCATCGCTGATGTAAATGTGGGGGGGTTTTAATTTTTTATTATATTTATATGTATTGTCTTTTTTATCCGCTGTTTTGCTACTAAGGACAACTGAATTTCCCCTCGCTGGGATGAATAAAGTATCTATCAATCAATCAATCAATCTATCAGATGTACACATGTATTTAGACAAAAAACAGAGCATTTCGCAGACAAATACACAATAATAAACAGAATACCACATCCCTACATCTGTTGTGCAGTAGCCAGACGACAGAGCAATGGCGCCCTCTGCCGGTGATAAGTGGAGATGCAACCGGAAGCACAGAGAGCGCCCTGCTGTCATCGAACTGCAGGAAACTCGGGCTGTGGGAGTAAACAAACAGGTTTCTGTGCTAAGCTAAGGTGCTCAAATCCCCCTCTAAATCCACTGGACGTGCGGTGAATCAAAAGTGTTGGAAGTTGCATGTTTTTGTTGTGTTATGCTAATTCGGCTAATGCTAACTAGCGCGTGTAGCTTAAGTATTAGCATGTTAGCATGACGGTAGCATTCCCCGCAGAGGAAGGAAGGAAACCCAGCTGTATGCAGAGCAAGCACACACTTTTGGGGCTCTGAAACAACGTGACGCACTTCGGAAATGTTCTTGCCCAAACTTGTTTTGTTTTTTTAAGAAATATTTTTTTTAGTAGATTCGCCATGCTGGGTTTGAGCGCAAGTAAACAACACATGACAAGTTTTACCCCTGATCCAATCCAGAAGCTGCGGTGAAGTTGTGGCTAAGTATGCGGCTTTCTCAGGGGTAGATCTCCCCCCAAACTGGTTTTTCAACAAGTTTTTAAGTCTAGTTTGCAAAAGGCAGGGAACAACCCATGGCATCGGATGTGATCGAGGGTGAAGCGGTGTTGAAGGAGCTTAGGTTCGGGGACAGTAGCTCCGGAGATACGAAGGCAGTCACACCCAGAAGCAGCCCTCAAGACTCGGGCATTACGCACCAGTCCAGCCCGTCCACCTCTGGAGTGTCCGGGGAAGACGAAGACCTGGAAGAATCGCAAAGTAGTAATGTATCGTCAGGTCACAATGGGATTAGTTTAAACCAGACTCAAGAAATGGAAGCAGAGAAAGAATCTGGATCTTCCCCTGTGCAACTTTCTCCTGCGCCTGCTACAAGGTGTGTAAACTTGTGATCCACCTAAATACATTTGTCTTGTTTTTGTCTGGATTATTGGGGATTATCTTGAGGGTTAAACGTGCACCGCATAAACTGTGTACCTGTTTAGTCAGTGTTTTTCACTTTGCTATTTATAATCTTGTTTGACAGGTCGATGATTGCACACACCAACCACACATGAGCCATTCATGCAGATGCAGATGTGATACTTTTTCAGATTATAAAGCAGTGGAAAAATAGTGTTGCAAGTGTTGTATGTCATAATCTGACGCTGTTTAGTTTTTATTTATTTTATTTATTTTATTTATTTTATTTTATTTATTTTATTTATTTATTTTATTTATTTTATTTATTTTATTTATTTTATTTTATTATTTTATTTTATTATTTTATTTATTTTATTTATTTTATTTATTTTATTTATTTTATTTATTTATGTTATTTATGTTATTTATTTTATTTATTTTATTTATTTATTTATTTCTTTTTTGAGCCGTTTACATTTTAACATTCACATTTACATCATTCTATTAGAGGCGCTCCCAAAAAGAAAAGGAGTAGGCTGAAGCCAGAAGCTTATATATACGCCTACCCCGTAATCACTATGATATACATTTACATTTCCCGGTGATACTGCACAATCAGTCCGTATCCAAAATAACAATTCCAAAAAACAAAACAAAACAAAAACAATTACATTTACTCAAGTACATGAACTAGAGTAACTTATAGAAGTAACTGTACGTTTTAGAGTATTGTATCCATACAGTACTTTAACATTTTTACTGTACTCTTACGTGAAAAAAAAAAATAATAGTTACATTTTCCATCCAAAGAAAAGCTTCAAAACATCAAGAAACAACATTCACCTACGGATTAATACAATTAATCTTCTTTGAGTTTATCATTAAATGGACATAAAACAGTTAGTAAAATAGTTGACTAATATGACAATCTGTTTTTTATTGTCCTTGTTATTTGGACTCCACAGACATAGCTATATCCTTGGACATCCTGCCATTAAGATATGCACACAAAAAAAAGTTTGTGTTTTAGTTTTTCATGTTCTATAGGTGTAATTAGGTGTATTATTTTGCATTGGGTAAAGCATATTTAAGAACCAATGTTAAGAACCATTATTGTCTTCGTAGTCTGCGAACCACGGTGGCTGAGTGGATAGCACTCTCGCCTCTCAGCAAGAAGGTCCTGGGTTCGAATCCCGGTCGGACCAGGGCCTTTCTGAGTGGAGTTTGCATGTTCTCCCCGTGTCTGCGTAGGTTTCCTCCGGGTACTCCGGTTTCCTCCGGGTACTCCGGTTTCCCCTACCACTAAAAATATGTCCAATAGTTCTAGCATGCGCCTCCTGTACTGGCGACCCCGCTCCCATCTCTGTGTGGAGAGAGAGACAAATGCCCAAAAATTAACAATTGTAAACCGCTTTGAGACTCAGATCTGTAGTGAAAAGGCGGTATATAAATAAAGATTACTTACTACTTACCAAAACAAGATCTCTACGAAGTACTAAAGTTTGGAAGTAGATCATTTTTGCATAACTGCCCTTTGTGAAAGTCAAGTTCACTGGAGTGTATCAGTGCAGGACGCTCAGCTCTTTGACTGCTTTAAAACTCAGGATTAGGATTAGTTTTACATAATAACAGACATCAGTTATGTTCAGAGCCGCTGAGGTCAGGTGCACGAGTCCCGCAGAGCTGATTACTCTTTCAATGGACTCCGTGTGTTGATGTTCACAGGGAAATTCTATGATTACATTATTAAGATCTTCATTCATGTTGTCTTCCCCCCTCTTTATGTACAATTAAAAACAATCTTGAACATTCAGGATTTTGGAAAACGATATTTTCAGTTATAACAAACATGTTTTAGCTCTTTTATAAAGTAAAGTAAATGATTGTTGAATATTAAGGTTTGTATATCTGTCTAATGTGTCATCTTTGGACATGTCGTCACTGTTGTAATATGCATTAGGCAGTATACATCTATAATGAAATGTAAACGATCTTTGAAAACATGTGACTGAGATCGAATGTACATTATGGCCGAAGAACTAAACTATTACTGCAAGGATCAGTCTGTTTTCATCATATCTGCTCTGTGCATTAGACCTGACTTAAACATTGGCTGTATATAAAAGGCTTTGTGACTCTGAAAGGCGCTATATAAATAAAGATGACTGACTTACTTATATATTCACAGTTTGAAAACATCTGTAGAGCTTATCGCCTCTTTAAGAATTCAGAAACGACCATGAAATACTTGTATCCGTCTATAAGACCTTCTCAGATGGGCCTTTTTTATTTCTACCGATTAACCTGTAATTGTGCCTTGATTCTTTGGAAACATAAACGCACACAGAGTGTAGCTTATCTTAAGCCCCTTGACTCCTGATGCGGCATCAGTTTACACTCGTAATCCGCAGCAGATTTACAAGTCACAAGCTCTCAGCGACAGATGAGAATTCTACGGTAGATTTGAGGTTTTCCACTGATGATCTCCAACTCTGCTCTGATCCTGTTATGTTTATTCTCTTTCTACGCTTCTGGACTCTTGAACTTAATGCGTGACATGTTCCTCTGCAGCCTGGAGCGCCAAGAGTCCATCTCCACCACAGAAGCTCGATTACGGATGGAAGGAGTGGAGCTGAAGGAGGAGTGGCAGGACGAGGACTTCCCTCGGTACTTTCACATGTTGTGTTTACACTTTGGATAAAGAAACGCGCTAACACTGCACCTGTCTCTTCAGTCCGCTTCCAGAGGAGGAGCTGGAGGACGAGCTGTTCGCTGGAGTCTCTGGGGAAGGCGACCACGGTGAGAAACGTCGTCTTCTCTCTCATTGGCTGCTCTGGTTACATAACAAAGGAAGAGATCAATAATAATGTCAAGCACTTTACGCCTGTTGAAGTCTCTCACAGCGCTACACTAAAGTCACCGTTCATACACTACATGCACTGAACCTGATGCACTCCGAACACCAGCATTATTCACGCACGACAGTAGTATCGTGGTGCAGGTGGTGGAGAAAAGTGGAGCACCTGGAGGAAACCCACCCTGGCACAGGGAGAACAGAGGCTATATATTAGAAGTGGACTGACCGAGTGCTGAAGTCACCTTTAGTGTTAGCCTTAATGCGGAACAGGCCGTGTGGAGCCAAATATATGCAAATTTTTTTGGTAGTGGTTAGCTTAACGGCTGAGTTAACAAGCACCCGCCTGTCCCAAGCCTCGGTGATCCAAGATGGCGTCCTGTTCAAATGAATGGCTTGTGCTCAGTAGTTCATGGGACTTCACGGAGACCGGGAGATTAGCAGAACTCGCCTGTATTTGGGCATCGTCTGGTCCTCCCGGTTCTGCGCAGTGGACGAGCTCCCATGATGCTTTGCACCAAATACGCGTGTGTGGCTCTCATGCACGTGCACAGAGGGGCTCGGCCGCGCTCTGACCAATCAGAGTTTATTATCAGAGCGGGAAGGAAAGGAGCAGAGTTTGTGGCAGTAAAGTGTGGATTTAAAGAAAACCGAAGGATTTAAGACAAAAAAAAGTTCAGGATGACAAGGGACAAAAAAAACCCACAAAATCCGACCCTTTTGAAAGCTGTAGGTTCTCTGTCAGGTTCTCTGTCAGGTTCTCTGTCAGGTTCTCTGTCAGGTTCTCCGTCAGGTTCTCCGTCAGGTTCTCTGTCAGGTTCTCTGTCAGCTGAGGTCGAGCTGTTTTAGTTTACATTGAGTTCTGAGGGACTTTTTTCTGAGTAGCCCTCGTGAATTTAGTCTGCAGTACCACAGCGCCCCCTGTGGCCATGGGTGGGACAGCTGTAAGCGAGTAATACACTATCCAGTTATTATTATAGATCCATGGCCTGTCCCCACGCACGCTACCTGCTGCTAAAGCCGAAGTCTGCCTCAGAAGGCTCCTGATTGGCCAATTGTTATGGCTCATATGTGGATTTACAAAGACATTGCATTTCTTATCAAATCTGTTGCTGTGATTGAAGTTGTCAATCGAACTGTCCTCGAACGAATTCTGATGTCTAATAATGATAATAACAAAAACGCTTTACAATCTTCCGAGTTCAGATATTTTTCCATTCTCTCCACACAGTGATGATGGAAGCGAGACCCGAACACACCGGTCCATCAAAGCCTCCGACCAAACACCATCCATTCAATCACTCGTTACATTCAGACCTATTGTACATGTTTTTAGTGGTAGGCAAAACCAGAGCACCCGGAGGAAACCTACGCAGACATGAAGAGAACATGCAAACTCAGCTCAGAAAGGCCCTGTTCCGACCGGGTCTCAGTGGGACAGGGCATATTCAAACCAAAGGGAGGTTTCTCACCCGTCATCTGTGCTCCAGTTAGCAGGTTCTTTCTTGTGCTCAGGTTTTGAGTACGACCAGGGGACGAAGATGAGGAAGAAGCTGGCGGCTCCAGACATCAGCCTGACTCTGGACCGCAGCGACGGCTCCATTCTGTCGGACGAACTGGACGAGAGCACGGAGCTGGACCTGGACGCCATCGACACGCCGACCTCCGACAACAGCAACGAGTTCGAGTGGGAAGGTACGAGAGCGAGCAAGATACACAGTACTCACTCTGAACTTTAGTCACGGTTAAAGAGATTCTCATAGAAGGTTCCGTCTCATTTTGTCAGATTAATTATAATATCAGATTAAGTTTATTTACAATTTGCAGTAAAACCACATTGGAACACAGTCTCTCTCGCTCTGGTCTCTACCTGGTCTCTCTTTGGTCTCTCTTTCTCTGGTCTCTCCCTCTCTGGTCTCTCTCTCTCTGGTCTCTCTCTTTCTCTGGTCTCTCCCTCTCTGGTCTCTCTCTCTCTGGTCTCTCTCTCTCTGGTCTCTCTCTCTCTGGTCTCTCTCTCTCTCTGGTCTCTCTCTCTCTCTGGTCTCTCTCTCTGGTCTCTCTCTCTCTCTCTCTGGTCTCTCTCTCTGGTCTGGTCTCTCTCTTTCTGGTCTCTCTCTCTCTCTGGTCTTGCAAACGATATGTTCTGCCAGAGGGAAGAAGCTGGAACACTGTTTCTCCAGGATATGAAAACTATGTCATAGCACTTTGAAAAGTACTATATAGATATTATTCAGCATTTTAAAGGGGATGTCTGTGACTTCATCTTAACCATATCACCCTGCACTATCATCTAAATGAAATATTCTTATAGTCCTGTTTTTAACTTGGATTTTCAGGAAGACTGTTCCAGATTTTAGCTCCATGAATGTGAAATGCAGCCTGCCCATGTTTAGTCCTGACTCTGGGACCAACAGGAGGCTAGTCCCTGTGCTCCTCATAGTCACATCAGGAGGCCAATCCCTGTGCTCCTCATAGTCACATCAGGAGGCCAGTCCCTGTGCTCCTCATAGTGACATCAGGAGGCCAGTCCCTGTGCTCCTCAGAGTCCCAGCAGGAGGCCAGTCCCTGTGCTCCTCAGAGTCCCAGCAGGAGGCCAGTCCCTGTGCTCCTCAGAGTCCCAGCAGGAGGCCAGTCCCTGTGCTCCTCAGAGTCCCAGCAGGAGGCCAGTCCCTGTGCTCCTCAGAGTCCCAGCAGGAGGCCAGTCCCTGTGCTCCTCAGAGTCCCAGCAGGAGGCCAGTCCCTGTGCTCCTCAGAGTCCCAGCAGGAGGCCAGTCCCTGTGCTCCTCAGAGTCCCAGCAGGAGGCCAGTCCCTGTGCTCCTCAGAGTCCCAGCAGGAGGCCAGTCCCTGTGCTCCTCAGAGTCCCAGCAGGAGGCCAGTCCCTGTGCTCCTCAGTTGTTAGCGCAGCTGTATTGACCTTTGTTGTTGTTTTGTGTTTCACTCGCTGCCGTCTTGTTCTCTGGAAACAGGCTGCAGGTCTCTTCTCGTGGTAAGGTTTTTCCAAAGAGCTGACGACCAATCAACCCGACATTTCTGACCTCTCAATGTATCCGTGACAAACGTGTGACATCATTTCATCCACTGTGCTGCATGTGTTCATTTAATTAAGTCAAGACATATTTAGAAATCTGCTCCCTCCCAATGGACGCACTTTCACTTCATGCATGAAACTCCACCGGGTTTTTACACCAAAATTCTGTATTATTTCAAGTTTTTTGCCACCTCTGAAATTTTACCATATTTAAAAACACATCAGGCGTGAAATTAAACACGTTTTTTGTCTGATTTGAGCCACAAAACAATGATAAATCCTTTCTCAATGATGCAGCTTTAATTTGAATCATTTTGAATCTCTTTGTTTTTGATGAGAAAATCGGTTTGTTCTTGATTCTCCCGTTTCTGCGTGACGTCACTGAGAGTGCGGCGGTGAACGTGTGGTGTCTGTGACAGATGACCTGCCGAAGCCCAAGGCCACGCAGCTGCTGGAGAAAGGCGTGGACTCTGTGCAGGAGCTCACGGCCTCCGAGGAGCGGGAGGAGGGCCGCAGGTGGAGGCTGTTCCGGATCGGGGACCAGGAGCACAAGGTGGACATGAAGGCCATCGAGCCCTACAAGAGAGTCATCAGCCACGGAGGTCTGTGCCCCCCTCCCTCCCCCACCTCTGCTCCATTATGAAACATGGTTGTGGGTACAGTAAAGGGAAGGCATGTCAAACTCAGGCCCGCGGGTCAAATCCTGTTTTTAGTGTCCCATAAATGTCCCAGGGTTTTCTATTGTTATTATTCCAATCCAATCCAATCCACTTTATTTATATAGCACATTTCATAAACACAGTTTCCAAAGTGCTGCACAATAAAATACCAAAAATATATCCATAGTAAGACAGTTAATAATAAAAAATCAAATTTGAAAAACCGTGTGTGCATATGTATAAACACAAAAATAACAATAATAAGATGAAATAAAATAAAATAAAAGGACCATACAACTCACGTAGTGTTAAAAGCCAGAGCATAAAAATGGGTCTTAAGACGAGACTTAAAACACTCCACTGAAGGAGCTGTTTTGACGTGGGGGGGCAGAGCGTTCCACAGCTTTGGTCCAGCCACAGAGAAGGCCCTGTCCCCCCGGGTTTTAAGTCTGGTCTTAGGCACCACGAGCTGGAGCTGGCCCTCGGACCTCAGCGCGCGGGGCGGGTGGTAAATTTGGATGAGGTCCGAGATGTAGGGAGGGGCCAGTCCATTCAAACCTTTAAAAACAAACAATAAAATCTTAAAATTGATTCTAAAATGAACAGGAAGCCAGTGCAACGAAGCCAGAATTGGTGTAATGTGATCGCGCCTTCTGCTTCCTGTTAAAAGTCGTGCCGCTGAGTTTTGGACCAACTGCAAACGGGAAAGTGCGTTTTGGGGGATGCCCGCATAAAGTGCATTGCAATAGTCCAGGCGTGACGAAATAAAAACGTGCATGACCTGCTCAAAAAGATTAAAAGATAAAAAAGGTTTGACTTTAGATAAAAGCCGCAAATGATAAAAGCTTGATTTTAAAACGCGATTAATCTGCTTATCAAGTTTAAAATCACTGTCTAAGATGACGCCAAGGTTGGTGACTGTAAGTAAGTAAGTAAGTAAGCTTTATTTATATACCGCCTTTCACAGACCAGAGTCACAAAGCGGTTTACAATTGTTATTTTTTGGGCACTTGTCTCTCACTCCACACAGAGATGGGAGCGGGGTTGCCGAACAGGAGGCGCATGCCAGACCTATATTGTACATATTTTTAGTGGTAGGGGAAACCGGAGTACCCGGAGGAAACCTACGCAGACACGGGGAGAACATGCAAACTCCACTCAGAAAGGCCCTGGTCCGGCCGGGATTCGAACCCAGGACCTTCTTGCTGAGAGGCGAGAGTGCTATCCACTCAGCCACCGTGCCGCCCAACTGTGGGGCGCACATAGTCCTTTAAGGGCCCCAGGTCAATGAGGGGGGGACTAGGGCCAAATAAAATAACCTCTGTCTTATTTTCATTGAGTTTAAGAAAGTTTTGAGCCAACCAATCCTTGACGTCACTCAGACAGTTGAGTAGAGGCGTCAGGGGGCTGTGATCATTTTTTAACAAAGGCATGTAAATCTGACAATCGTCAGCATAAAAGTGATAAGACATTCCATGTTTTTTAAAAATGTCACCAAGTGGGAGGAGGTACAGGGCAAAAAGCAAAGGGCCAAGAATTGAGCCCTGGGGAACTCCACAGTGCAAAGGGGCAGAGGTGGATGTGGAGTCCCCCAGCCTGACAGTGAAGGACCGCCCTGACAGGTATGACCTAAACCAGTCCAGGGCGGTCCCCCTGACACCCACACAGTATTTAAGACGATTTAAAAGAGTTGCATGGTCCACAGTGTCAAACGCAGCAGTCAAGTCTAAAAGCACTAAAACAGCAGAATTTCCAGAATCTGCCAATAGAAGCAGGTCGTTAAAAACCTTTAAAAGTGCAGACTCAGTGCTGTGCAAAGCTTTGTACCCAGACTGGAAAGGGTCTAAAATGCAATTTTCATTTAAAAAAGGTTGCAACTGGGAAATTACGCTTTTTTCTAAAATCTTAGAAACAAAGGGGAGTTTTGAAATAGGACGATAATTTGATAAGATTGAAGGCTCGAGTCCAGGTTTCTTAACTAATGGCTCTACTACAGCTGATTTACAAAAGGAAGGGACAACCCCAGAACACAGACTCGTATTTATTATCTCCTGAACAAAAGGTCCAATAGTTGTCCAGACCTCTTTAAAGAAGCGAGGTGGAACTGGGTCTGTGGGACTGGATGAAGGTTTTAGCTTGTCAACGATCCCTGTGATGACAGACAATGACACAGGCTCAAAGTGACTAAAAACAGAAGAGCACTGTGTGATTAGAGCATTGTTCAAAGAAGAACCAAAAGCCACCATGTTTACTCTAATATTCTCAACCTTAGTGGTAAAATAGACAAGGAACTTCTCACACATTTCACTCGTCATTTCCAAAGTAGTGGAAGGACTGGGGTTACAAACTAAACCAATAGTTTTAAAAAGAATTCGAGGTTTGTTTATATTTTCTACAACAAGATTAGACAAATACCTCGTTTTTTCCTTAAAAACAGTGCTTTGATAAGTGCTCCAACTGTCTTTATACATTTGGTGAGAAATCTCCAAATGGTCAGTTTTCCACCTGCGCTCAGCTCTACGACACTCACGCCTCGCAGTGCGTGTGACCTCGTTAAGCCATGGCTCCTGTTTAGGTTTAGGACGCACAGCTCTTAATGGAGCGACATTGTTCAAAACACTACAACAGGTGGATATAAATGACTCCATCAATTCCTCAGAGTCCATGGAGAGGTTTCTAAAAGACTGTAAATCTACTGCTGCATTGAATGCAGTTGAAAAGGTCTCTACAGTTGCTGGCTTGATAGAGCGGCTGTGATACATAGGACATATCGGTCCCATCTCATTTTGCAACATTAGCCCAAAAAGAACAGGACTGTGGTCAGAAAATACCGCATCCCCAACAGATATATCGACCACAGGAAAACCATAGGACAGCACAAGGTCTAACGTATGGCCATGTATTTGCGTGGGGCCACTCACATGCTGAGTCAAATTAAAAACATCAACCAAATCTAAAAACTCTTGGGCCAAGGGCTTTGAAGGACAGCATACATGCACATTAAAATCCCCAACCAGCAACATCTTGTCATAACGTGTTGACATAAGAGCCATAAAATCAGAGAAGTCCTTGATAAAGTTTTTGTTGTATTTTGGTGGTCTGTACACAACAGCACACAACACAGGCTCAGTCTGACGCAGCTCAAAACAGCTCAGTTCAAACGAAGAAACAGGCTCCGGGGATAAAATCTTGTGGTAGAGAGAGTTCTTTAACACAGTAGCTATGCCACCACCACGACCGGTGGCTCTTGGCACATTAATAAATGTACACTCGGGGGGTAAAAGCTCGGAGAAGGCAGCTGACTCACCGCTGTTGACCCACGTCTCAACCAGAAACAGTAAATCCAATGACTGCGACGTAAAAAAGTCTTGCAGAATAAATGTCTTGTTCACAATTGATCTTGCGTTCAGGAGTGCGCATTTCACAACAGCCGTAGACCCGCAAGCCGCGGGATCTGCCCGGCTCAGTGAGCGCAGGTTTCCTGGAGTAACACCGCCAGTACCCCGGGTAGAACGAGGGCGCAGCGCACAGACATCCTCCTCCTGCTGTCCAAAAACGGGAACCAACCAGGAGCCGATGGACACAAGCTTGCGTCTGGACACGTAACGCTGAAGGCTGCTGCCATAGTCTGCTGGGACTATGTGGGATTTCACGGAGCCCGGAGAACACGCCAGCCAGGCCTTTAGCTTTACAAGCCGGCCGGCTCGCACTCCACGGCGGCGTTTACGCTTCCTCGGCAGGGGCGCATTCACGCACCGGAGACACTCGGGCAAATCCGCCAGGTAGAATGAATCCGACTGGTTTGCATCATGAATTGTGCAGGTATTCACTCTTAATCTTATATTTAGCAGCTCATGGCGATTGTACACAATCAATGAGTCTATGGTAGTGATGGGTCCAGCAACACTGATACACCGGCGCATGTGCCGAGTTCGTTTAGCAAAACCTCGTATCGGCGCGCGTGTCGCTTTATGAAAAAGCCACGTGACCAATACAGCCGCAGTGTCGCTTGTCCCGACACGGCAAACTGTGTTTAAAAGGTTCCGCATCTGCAAGTGTCACCGGTATGAACCGCTCTCAGAAAAAGAAAATAACCCTTTCAAAAAGGAAAAGCATCCCATTTTACAGCATAAAAAAATGGAACCTGCCACTAAAAGAAAGTATTCTGCAGTGTGATACTGCAAATAACAGCAAATAAGGCGATGTTTGTATTTTACATTTCACGCTTTATCTACAATCCAGCTTTAGTTTGAAACGCAAAATCTAGTCAGGTATGGTGGATGAGTGGATAGCGCTCTCGCCTCGCGTTTGAGAGAACTGGGTACGAATCCCTGTCGGACCTCAAAAGTTTATGTTGACATCACAGTCTTGAAGAATAATTTTGAGACATTGAAGTGCAGAAAATGTCAAAGGTTTTTTCAAGTATACTTTAGTTGCCAGGGTTTACAGTGCACTTTGGACATGCTTATTGTTTTGAGAAAAAAAAAAAAAAAAAAACATCACTCAATGACATTTTGCTTCATGAATACATTCACAACTATCACTTTAAATTTCACATAAAATAAAATAACACAGACAATGCAGTTACGTAATATTGTGTACAGACAAGTATGTAAAGCTCATTGAATCAGTGAGTTGGATGCAATGATTTATCAGATCCACCAGGTGTCAGTATAGAGCAGCACAAGCAACACTGTTGCGGCACAGTATCAACACAGTTTGTTGGATGTGCCGAAACGATACGTGAGGTTTCATTTACCAATCACTAGTCTATGGTCCTCGTGAAATGTGTTAAAAACAATATAAAACTGATCAAACAGAGCAGAGTCAAGCGGCGAACCAGACACCCCGGCGCCATCTTGCCATTCATTCATTGCTATTCATTTGCAGCGTTGACGGTAATGGGCTACTAGAGTTAAATATAAACATTAAAAAATCATTGGCCTATCAGTAATGTTAGTATTAAGGTCTGGATGTGCGCCACAATCTTTGCAGAGATTACATTTGCTAAACATTCCTCTTGCTCTGGATTCAGTTTCTTGATAGAACCAGACCAGAATACTTTAATATCACATTCTTTGCCAAACTACAACCTTCCCGTTCGACGCAAACTCTTGACGTCACCCACATCTAACTACAACACCCGCCTCCCGTGCTCTCTGATTGGTCGGATGGAATTGAACCGATTGTAATCACAGACACAGGGACCAGACCCAGACGTTACAGGCAGGACATGATGATTGACAGGAGTGTAGGATGGATAAGACCAGACTAGGTCAGCCCTAGACCAGCTCTAATCTTTTCATATGGTTCCTACCTTAATGACTTTGACCCCAACATTTAAATAGTTTGTACAGTATATATAATAGATTCTACTAAGTGGTCAAAGCGCACCCACAACCTCATAATGCTTAAAACCGTTAATCTATTTCCTCAGGTTACTATGGCGACGGCTTGAACGCTATCATTGTCTTCGCTGTGTGTTTTATGCCTGAAAGCAATCAACCAAACTACAGATATATTATGGACAATTTATTTAAGTAAGTAGAGCCCGAGTATGTCCTTCCTCTCTGAGTCCACGTGATGAAGTTGCTGATAAATGGCTTCCTTCTCTCTCAGGTATGTGATCGGGACGCTCGAGCTGCTGGTGGCTGAGAACTACATGATTGTTTATTTAAACGGAGCCACGTCCCGGAAGAAGATGCCGACGGTCAGCTGGCTGCGAAAGTGCTATCAGCAAATCGACAGGAGGCGAGTTCCGTCTGCACCGGCCTTTTTCAGTAAAGAGAGACGTTGTTATGACTGTAGACGGCGTGACACTCACCGTGGAGAACTCTTTATATAGATTTGTGTATTTTAGTGACCGTAAGCCCTGTTTCCACCAGCCCTACTCTACCCTACTCTAGTCTACTCTACCCTACCCTACCCTACTCTAGTCTACTCTACCCTACTCTACTCTACCCTACCCTACCCTCCTCTACTCTACTCTACCCTACTCTACTCTACTCTACTCTACCCTTCCCTACCCTACCCTACCCTACCCTACTCTACTCTACTCTACTCTACTCTACTCTACTCTACTCTACTCTACTCTACTCTACTCTACCCTTCCCTACCCTACCCTACCCTACCCTACTCTACTCTACTCTACTCTACCCTAGTCTACTCTACTCTACCCTACCCTACTCTACTCTACTCTACTCTACTCTACTCTACTCTACTCTACTCTACTCTACTCTACTCTACTCTACTCTACTCTACTCTACTCTACCCTACCCTACTCTACTCTACCCTCCTCTACTCTACCCTCCTCTACTCTACCCTACCCTCCTCTACTCTACCCTACCCTACTCTACTCTACCTCCTCTACTCTACTCTACTCTACTCTACTCTACTCTACTCTACACTACTCTACCCTACCCTACCCTACCCTCCTCTACTCTACACTACTCTACTCTA